CACACACACACACACACCATATTGTTGGTTTAACAAAAACAGGTCAGCCCCAAAAAACAATATAACTACATCCCAAGTTTTTATTATGAGGCCGTACAAGGGCACAGAGGGACAATAAACGCAGATCTATGTGTGTAATGAATAAGTTACACACTCCTATTAGGGCAGGCAGCGGTGACAAATGCCTCTCATTCACTCATTAGGCCACTGGCTGTCGGAGGGAGCAGGAGAGAGCAAGGCGCAGCAAGGGAAGCTTATTGGGTTTTAAACGGCCATGTAATCCATTTCCTTATTGGAGATGAATAAGCTGCTGTCCGCGGCGGGTTTATTTATGGGCGAATTAAACACGTACGCAGTGACAGGCAAAAAGCAGAATGAATCAAAAGGGCAGGTCTGCGACTGCTGACATCCCCCGTGGATAACACAGGTGAGAGGGGGGTAAATAAACAGGAGGGGGTTATTTACACAGAGTATAAATCATAAAAAGAAATAAAAACACAGAAAGTATACAGGGCTTACAAATAATGTTTGAAAGACTAATTTTCTTATTCTATTTCTTTACACTTGTTTCTACAAAAAGGAGCATTGCTGTAATGGAATAATGGACTGCATAGATAAAAATGAGAGGAAATAGAAAAATCACAGAGCTCTTAGAAGAGAGGGAAATTCCATCTCACCAGACTAAGTGGCCTCTGACCCTTTATCGAGCATTGTGAGTGCCAAGCCAGCACTCCACAGGTCAGTAAGTAGGTCCTGATCCCTATCCCAGTCTTTTTGTGCAGATACCACAGCAGGCCAATTCCAGCTGATCATGTGCAGCAATCAGTCATCCCTGGGGGAGGAGGCAAAACTCATTTCTCCAGGTCCAGTGACTATCCCCCTTTTGGGAATCAATCCCCTAGGTAAAGCAGTCAGTCAAACAGCCAGCCACTAAGCCTTCCCCCTGGGAGAGTGAAACGCCTTGTAACATTATCTAGAGAGAGACAAGGAGCTTCCACGGAAGGATGAGGCAGCGCAGGCTCTCTGAGAAAAACGAATGTTTTCTTACCCAGTGAACGCCTTTGTTTCCAATCCTGACCCTCTGTTAATGACTTCAGACAAAAGCACTCTATCTCAAGTCACGCCGTCCTTAACCCTCACTGTTTCACACAGACTCACCTCTCTCAAGTCAATGGACTGCCACAACTAGAACCTTTTCTTTTCCCAGTGACCTTAAACATCCAGCGCCTGAGAAAAGAGCTGAACACAACATCGCAATCTCTGTTTTATTTTTTTATGTTTTGGACTGACTGGCAGGTGTATTTATCCTCGGGTCTATTCAGATCCAGTTTGAGTGGACTTTACCTTTCATGTTGGCAAAAAAATGTATTGTTTGAGTAAGATTTCCACAGGTTCATTCTGGATCGGGTCCCAAACAGAGAAAGATGCAGAGAGTCAGAGCAAAATTATGAAACTGGATGCAAACATACATCATCTGGTTGAAACCAACTAACAATTATCATAAATACTGTAGTCCTTCAGAGGACTTACATCATCACACGGCTCTTTCTTGCCCAGCGATTTATGTAAAAAAAAAAACTTGTATAGACTCATTATGTTTTGTGCGAACCTTCAAGGATCTTCGAGAGCCAGGGGAACTGTGTAAAACTGGGTTAGTGTGCGTTTGATAATGCTACATGTGCTGCTCGGCGTCTCTCCCTGGAGATTTCTCTTCATCTAACTCTGCCTTACAGTAAACATGACTGTCACTGTTATACTACAAGTCCTCTGGGAATCGGCTAATGGCTTCTCTTAATGACAAACACACATGAGAATGCACAAATACACAAGTGTACCCACCACACACACACCTAACGAAAGCACTTAAACACTCGACTCACTTAAACATTACACAAATCGGAGCTACGTTAATGTGACATGTAAAGTGTGCGTCGTGCTGTCTAGTATAGCAACATACACAGATTTTCAAATTGGATGCATGCACGTTAACACATTTTATACAGTACTGTAGTCCGCATTCATGCAAAGAATATAAAGTACCACAAACATACTATTCTCTCTAAGTATAAGTAGAGGGGGGAAATCCCCCAAACAAACAGAGATAGGCGGCATCACGCAGGAAAGAATAATTATCCATTCTCTGAAACAGTAGAAAGGGGAACTGTCTTTTGTGGGATGTCAGTGGGGCTGACAGTGCCTGAGGAGCGTTCGAGAGATCAAGTCTGTAGCGCTATCATTAGACAGGAGGGGTTTCAAAAAGGCAGCGCACTGATCACGGGGAAGCATGCTGACAGCACATGAAAAAGGGGCGCTTGTGCATCAATTCATTCTCGTCTTTTTTTTCTCCCCGATTTTTGCTCCTCCTAAACTGCTCAAACATCATTCCTCCTCTACTCCCAACACACACACACACACACACACACACACACACACAAGCAGACTGTGGTAGTCAACATCAAAGTATGATGGAACGAGGCACATCATTAGCAGGAGAAGACAGAGGCGAGGGAGGATGAAATCATTTAGACGCCGCTGTGGAGAGGGAATTACTACGGCTGTCGGGATGAGGGGAGCGGGGAAGGAAGGAGAGGGGAAGACAAGGGGGATGAAGGAGGGGTGAAAAGGAGAGGCAAAGGGTACAAATGAAGGCGGGATGAAAAGTCCACATGTGCAAGAAAGATAATGAGTGGCGGTAAAACAAGAAAGGCACAAAAAAAAAATCAAACGAGGGGAAGCACAAACTCCAGAGAGAAGCATCGCGGCTTGATGACAACCCAGAACAGGTTTGCAGTCGAGCTGGGTGATGGGTGATGGCTATTTCCTGATAATATATGTGCCTTTTCATATGTTAGGGATTCACCACTCCTCCCTCCAATCATCTCTCATCATCAGTGTTCCTCCCTGCCGTGCTCTCCGGTGTCAGCGGGCCAGGCGGCCCTGTTTGACAGGCTGAACACGGTAATTGCCAAGAAGCAGAAGGATGAAATGTGAAACCGTTGTGATGTTTTAAACATGTCGCCGTTGCATGCCGAAGTTACACAGGTCTGTAATTTGTTAACGTGTGGTGGGACCGTTAGAACTCAAAAAGAAGAGAAAATGCTGAATAATTAAATATTTTTCATGAATGATATCATAAATGTTGTTTTAGTGAGTGGCTGGTTGTGAATGTATCTTGAACGTGACTTTCTGGAGATGATTTGGTGGTAAATTGGTATGTTAAAGGGAAAGTCCAATTTCATGCAACTTGGATCTTGTTGTTTTTTTTGGCCATCATTCCTTTCATTAAGAGGTAATTGCTAAGATCTGGCAACAAAGCAACAAAAAACACTTCTTCTTCTTGTTCTTTAAAACAAAACTACAAGTAAAACAAAGGCGAATGGTAAAATCATTACCCAAACTATCTGTTGTTAACATTCCTCCCGGCACGGCTGGGTAATATGACGATCTCTGTAAGGCAGTAATGTGATAATATAACGTTATCTGTTGAAGCTCCATTGAATGAGCTGAGTCACAACAGCAAAGTAATGAGTAATGTTATTCTTTTTTAACAGTATTGCCATTACAACAATCACTGTAAGGGACTCGGCTTACATCACTGTTCACAGACCAACATCCAGCTTCAGCGTTGACCTGTGTACCGCTGTTGCAATGTTTTACCACAGACAGAAATGATGGCAAAAATTATGCTGTAAAAAACATCCTTCTTTCCGCCTACATAAAATAAAGAAATAAATGAGAACACAATCAATACAATCCATGCTGGAGTTATGTTGCATCACTAACAGTAGCAAAGAGTTGTTTGTTTATATGACCTTTGAAAAAAAAACAAACATAAAACATCATTTAACTTGATGGTACAAAGTTCTACACATCTCTTTACCTCTCTGTCTCACAAACACATAAACCCTTCGGGGCGTCACAGATAACCGCTCCCCCTTCTACTCCCCCAAAAATGCAATTAGCCATTATGTGGCCCTCTATAATCTGCCATGTTCATTTTATGTGCCTTTGATACAGCAGGGGCTTATCTCGCCAGTCTTTACACAGAGCACCGCTCACATCCCCTGGCAATGGGAAAACAAAGTCAAAGTTATCAAATCAACCCTAAAACAAAAAAACAAAAAAGGAGAAGTCGGAGTCCGAGAGACAGAGGAGTGAGAGGCTCGCTCTGTTTGACGAGGCTTTACACAGTAAAAACACAGGTTAGTCATCTGAGCCCCTGAGAAATGCATCTGAACTGATCTGGGATGTGGAGGAAACTGATGACCTTATTTTTCTATGTGAGCATCTATGAGCGTTTCTGTTTGAGAGCAAAATAGATGGACTGGGACACAGATATGAAATCTAATTTCAGGTCATAATGATGCAGTATGTGTCTCTGTGTGGTTGTGGTTGTGTGTGTGTGTGTGTGTGTGTGTGTGTGTGTGAAGGCTTTAATTTAG